CTTCGATAGACTTCGTAAGCATTGTCGGATGACACCAAAGGGTTGTAGGAAGTAATTGTGAAGCAGGTCTGATGAGATCAAGTGACTCCTGGTATCAGCTGGGGTTCACTTGCTTATGTGATTGTGTATGAGCGTGATAATGTGTACTTTAAATTCCGAACGGAGGCTCTGCCGACTGGTTCGAATTACCTACCAGAAAATTACTTTAACACGTGTCCAGTTATCGGTTGTGGAGCGTCTGGTCTGCAGTCTAAACACGGAGCCATCAACGTTGATCAGACATGGCTGTTCTGATGATGCCCAGATCTCTTCTGCCCATCATTCTACTGATAGGTCTTGGTAAGTTCGAGTCAGGACTAATTGATCCGAGTTCTCTATAACAGTTAATCAAAGCACCGAAAATTTGTCCTTAACTAACCGGAGTCCTGTAAAAAGGAGTTAGTGGCAATAAGTTTGCCATTATTTGGTTATCTAGACCCCGTACGGCCGGTCACTTCGCAACCAGTGGTGAATACTAATTATTTAAGAAAATAAGGATGGCTCGAGGCATCATCTAGAGTTCATAGGAGCTAAGCAAGTCAAAGATTGAGTTTTGAGTGAACGAGAAACCTCCTTTTTGTCCTTTTGATGATTGGAAAGGCCACACACGGAGAACCACATCAGTTGGTCGAGATTCGGTAGACCAACAAAGAGATATTTAAAAAAATAAATCGAGAAGCTTTACTGAAGCAACGAATGTATGGTATGTACAGTCCTCGAGACCCCGGAACAGATGAGTTCCGTTAGCGATCGGGTTAATGTTCAACAATGAGTGTCAATAGTCATCGACCTAACTCGGCAAGATAAAGAGCTTTTGGTCCAATTGTTAGAGCGTTTTACTCTGATCAAAGAGGTCGCAAGCTCGAGGCTCTGGTTGGACACCATTTGGGTCTGGATATTACTGGCTGATGGCGGCTAATAATCCAGAACTGGGCATTCCAGTCTCCCTTACCTTTGTCGGTAATACTATCAGCCGACACTACCAGATGCTACTGCTGTCAGGGCCTCCGTCGAGATCCCAGACAGAGCGGGACAGATGGGCTCCGTTAGCGGTCGGATGAACGTTCTTCAGTGAGTAGATTCTCTATCTCATGAAATGGCAAAGGATATTCTAAAATGACTTCTCAATACGAGCATATTAATTACGTATATTTGTAATAATGATTGTGGTGCAACTTAATCTCGATATATTTCAGTCACCCGAAGATACCGTCTTTTGAACTAACTTCTTTTTGACCACCTGCAGAAAGTATATTCTGTAAAAATGCCTACTTAAGTAATATGCATTTTTCTGATTTATTTTCACTGCTTCTATAAATTCAAATATATTTTTTTGCGAAAAATGCACAAAAAATTCTTTCTTGTACTCATTTACTAGCAAATCACGCCTCCTTCAATGTTTATATTTGAAGAAAAGCCAGCTTTCTTTCTTGCTATGAGATTTTTTACGACCATTAAATGTGCATTCACAAAGCATCGTATCTGTCCATTTAATAATGCTACTTATAACTTCTATGCAAACTATATGATTTCCTCTTCACACAGTAGGACAATATTTACTCATCCTAACGCAGAATGTATTCCCAGTCTGTGTGGGGGTACGGACATTTTAAGCACGAAAGACTGTCCCAATGCGCAGGGCGCAAAATGCTCGACCGTGCTGTTATTTCCTTTTCCCTTATATAATCTCGTTTTATGTACCTCTTCTGCTCGCTTGTGCTTTTCAATGTCTCCATCGATAACCCGATTTCTTTCTGTTTGTTGCAGCCCTAGTGCG